GAATAGCTATAAATAGACCTTTCCAATTGATTTGACCTGTACATTTCAATACCTAGCGCCGTTGCGATGCGATTGCGAATGGAAAAAAAAAAGAAAAAAAACCCAAAGTATATGAGAAAGAAAACAAAATGCTGGAAACACACTCGTACACATCCTATTAGTTCCTTCTACCTTCTATCTCAGGGGCGTGCCATTGGTTTCTCAGTCTTCTCAATCGATTCTTGCGAAGAAAAAGAACAGTATTTGTCCTTGATTGCGACAACTTCATAGGTGCCTTCATCGGATGTTTTGATGCTTTTCGTGTGCTCGTGAGAGATATCGTGCTTGATATCAAGTATCTCGGGCTTTCTGCCCCTTCGAGTGTTCGAGCTCCGGATATACCTAACAAGTAATTAGTTAAACCATAATGATATACAGGAGGCAAAATAATGAGCGACATACGTGAACTCGAATGGAGGTGTGCCCCAGAACTCAAATTGAAGTTCGGCCTCTCCTCCTTCGTGTATATCAACAACGGAGACTTGACCTTTACTGATTCTGACACTCGGCATCTCATGAATCGTCTTTGTTATGTTCTTGTGTGCCTTGCACTTTCCACTCGCCCCGTCACCTACAGCGGTAATGGTGAAGACTCCTGGCCGCTCAGCAATCCGACGGAAATTCGTGGTCTTGGAAGTAGCTTTTTTGGATGCACCGTCGAATGTATAGAACACGTCAAATGGAGCGTGACCAGACAATGAGAAAGACAGGCGTTCGCCGACACAGTAATCGGTCTTTGATTCCAGAGGGATGATTGTGGGCACGTCCGAAACCGCGACCCTCACCGAAGAAGAGTCAAATTCGGTCTCTTGCTGGCATCCACGTGCATCTCTCACTTTGCGGATACTGACGACATGTTGGCCCAATTCAAGATGGCGTCGTGGGATAGGCAGGTTATGCCTGTTGGACTTGATATTTGGAATTGACACAATTTCTGGTTTGGCTTTCGAGTGGTGCTTGATGGAGATTTCGAGGGAAAATGGCGGTACACCCTCCAAAGTAATGGGTATCAGTTCCTCGCCACTGATGTCTTCTTTGCAGAAACCGTAGATACGACCAGGCGAGTCAAAACGTGCAGAGGGGAGGGGGTTTACCCTTTGCGTCACGACAACCGGCCGGCTGCGAGGATCATGGTCGTAAAGATGGTCGCCGACTTCTGTAAATTTGTATGTATAGGAACCAGGTTCTGACGTGTCCATTTCCATGGAGGCAGCGTTCAGAGCTGTCTTCAGACTCTGTAGCCTGACTGACGGTGAACCACGAGATGTCTTGCGCTGCTGCTCGTACTGTATGTCGTAGGGGGGGTTACCCGACAGCCGAAGCTCAAGACTATCATCTTCGCCTTGACAAACGTCGCGTTTTGTTACATGGCCATCGTCGCCAACGGGAGAGCCATCCACTGTCGTGATATGAGGGCGAGGTATCCAGGACACCTCAAAGACGTTGGCTGACTGGTCTATAGAGCCAGGGCAAGAGCTATCAGCAACGTCCACGAGTTCGTACCGCCCTTCTTGAGCAACAGTGAGCATGCTGTTCTCTTGCCAGAATGTCTTCTCAAGAACGGCAGAATTGGTATCCAAGTTGCGATATCTGACGTTCCATGGCCTCTCCCCACTTAGTCTGACCGGAATGTCAAGCTTGGAGTCCTGCAAAGCCAAGTACTTTTTACTCTTTTCAATCTGGCCGAAGGACGCGTGCGGTGGCTTCGAGCGAGCATCAATCTTGATAGTGTCCCTGAGAGTCCGTTTGCAGTTCGAACGATCCTTGACGCCCGTTAGCACAATGGCATACTCGCCACCGCTGACGAGCTTTTCTGTCACGATTGTGGCCATTGCGCTGTCGGAAACCAAAGAATACTTCGTCTTCTTGCCGTTGTGGACGAGCTCATATTGCAGCGTCCATGGCGCTTCACCTAAGAAGGCTACGTCTACGGACACTGGCTCCCCAAAGCAAGCCTTGCGCACCTCCTTATTGCCGAGGAAATGAGCAGAAGCTGGAGGTTTCACATCTTGTTCTAGGACTGGTACTTTGTCCCTGAGAGATTGCGGAGCGTAAACAGTGTCCGAGATGTCCAAGAAGCGATAACGATAGGCGCCTGCCTCTGAAGGGGTGAAATCCAGCTGAGCACGCAGTCCGTCAATTGTCTGGGACTTTGTCTCCACGCCTTTCGAGTGTTCAACAACATATCGAACCCGGAAAGGTGGCGATCCAGTGAGGTCCAGATCAACGAGTAGACCGACAGGGTTATTAGCGCATTTGTCAAAGATCTTCTCGTACCTAATAGCCAGTTCAGGCTCCGGAGGATTGCGCAGGTAACAAGACGAGGGTTCTAGCGTTTCTCCAGAACAGTATTGGCTCGAGACTGAGTTCAGGCTGTACCAACCCGGATCCTTGATCTGAGGCTTCTGGTCGAGACTCTTGAGTGTGAGTTGACGAACTTTGTTAGGCTGTTCACTTGGACTTTCTTGATCGCTACCGCTGAACGAGTACACCAGAGAAAAGGGCCCATCATTGGCGTAGCCTTGACCAGAAGGGTGGTATTTCAAGGGAAGATCAACGCTGTCGCCACGTGCAACCTCTAGGAAGCTCTGGTCATTGCAGCCAGTCAAAGACAAGCGTGGCCTCTCGTGGACTGAAAATTGATGCCACTGTGATAGAGACTTGGTCGAGGAGCGATCAAATACATCCAAAAGTGCCGAATAATTTGCGATGTTCCCTGCACCATCATGTACCTCTTCAATGCTGTAGAGCCACTCACCGCCCACATTCAGTGACTCGTTCAACGGAACTTCGATGATTTGGCTTTGAGCCCAGGCGACTTCGGGTTCTCTGAGATTGAAGAGGATGCCGGAATTTCTCTGACCCAACAATGGCGAGCGCAAATTATCGGGATGTATGTTCTGAAACGAAAATCCTCGGTCAAGATGATTCACTTGTCTGCTGTACTTAATCTTCAATGGCGGCGTGCCCTCGACCGCTAGTATCAGGTTTGACAGTTCTCCTCGACATTTATGAGTGTGCGAATTCTTAACCAGCGCCCGGGGACAAGTGACAACAAGAGCATCAGACGAGCGCATGTGTACATCAAGGTTAGACTCATCTACTACCCTCTGCAGGCGATAAATGCCCGGTCGCCGAATTGAATAGAGAAGGTCTCGATGAAGGTCTGGACTTGAGCTTTGGTGCCTTTTCTCTGCATGCTTTTTCATCTGTTTCAACTGCTTAGACGATAGTACGATCGTTTCATTCGCGCCGGTGTCGTAATCTAGACGTAACAACTCGATAAGGATAGGATCCGTTTGATTGACTCGAATTGGCAAATCGATGGCAGTCTTTTGTGCATCGATGCACAGTGGTACTTGATCTGGGTTTAGAATAGCTGAACTGCATGATTCTGTTAGTGTATACAAAGAGATATGTAAATTGCCAAACTAGGGGCTCTTACCCTTCGGGGAGTATGTGAACGATCTGCTTTCCTAGAATAAGAGATGCGTTGTGAATGATATCACCAGGCTTCACACTTCGTTCAGAAATGGACAGCTCTCTATCATAGGCCAACTTGACCATGCCAGCGATCCATGTCCCAACCGGGATCTAATTACAAGTTAGCAAGCTCTTTGTTTTACTGCGGCGACGTGGACAAGCATACTGGGATTCGAAACATGAGAAATACATTGCCGACAACGTGAATAATGAAGATTGCAAGTGTAGTGGGAAAAGCCCATTCTAGCCACGGGATGCGCAACGCCTGTAGACCGAAGAGAAAGACACCATCGACAGCAGCCCATTTAAGGAATAACCAAGTCGAGTCCAAATCATCGGATGCCGTCCAAGACTCGTATACTCGCCAAGCATTTAATGCTACATAAAAAGCCGCAATGTAGAGTCGCTGCGACGGGGCATCTATAACCCCTACTGGTATGAGTGGTCGATTGGCATCTTGTGCGGGTATCTTTGAAAGACTCTTCGTCTGCTCCAAATCCCGGGGCTTCGGTTTAGATGTGGAATAGCTCAAGTCTCTGATCTTCGGAGTTCGTTGTGGTGTCTGCGGGAAAGCAGACCGAAGTCGAGGAGTACCGTTCATGGCATGCTGCGGTCATCAAAAAAAGATCACAAAGACCTATAGTAAACGTAATAGGGTGAGCTTTTTGCTTTTTGTGCTCTAGAAAGGATGGTTTATGAAAATCTGGGATTAATAACTCACGAGAGTTGCTGAGGCCGGCGGTTGTCTTGGACTCACACCAGGGGGGGAAATGGTTGTTGAGCCGTTCGATGTTGCGAAAGAAAAAGAAAGCGCGAGGGAAAAGAAAACAGGCTAGTGAGTAGCTTGGGCTGCGCGTATTGGAAAGAGAACTTCGGCGAGATTTGGCACACTAATAACGTACTCGCGTTGTAAACCTATTATGATTCCTTTATAAATAGGTAAATGTGCTTGACAATGTGAAAAGTCCCGAACAATAAGTGGTGAAATACCGGGACCTAGACAAGAGTAATAAGTAAATGCAAGGGTTTAGCTTTTAGCTGTCGGAAGTGCTCCAGTTTGCAGCTCGGATCCCGTTAATGATGTATGAAGATCACGTGTTGTACGGGTGGAAGCAGGCCCATTGGATGCTGTCGCTAACTAAACTAGTACTAGTAGTAGAGCGCGCGTCTGCAAACGCGTGTGTCGCTTACTGTAGATTCAAGTAACTGGTATAAAAATTAGTTACCTACTACTATCCACGGGAGACCTTACTGAGATGCAACGGGAGCCGTAGTAGACTCCTCTGTAATCATATACAAGGCCACTTCTTCGCCTCCGGACTGGACATTCCATATCTACGGAGTAGATAGATGCGGCGGGAAGCCGTAAGTACCTGGTATCCCAGTACTCGGTACACGTGGTGTAATAGTCTACGGAGTGTACTCCGTAGTAGTCCCCCCGGTAAATGTGTTACACAACGACTAGTCCTCCATCCTCCCTTTTATCAGGCAGGCAGGTAGCTAGTAACACGACAAACCCTGACACGCTGGTTCCTTTAAGTAGGCTCAGAGAGAGCCTTTCCATGCTTCTCCCTATCGTCAGTAAGACTACGGTCCATTTCTCCTGATCTCTGTCCCTTCTGTATGGTGACCAGCTCTGTGGATCCATGCTTTGCTCGGTTCCCACCTTTCCTCTTTCACTATCTATAACCTCCGAGCTAGCTAGGGACCTACCACTACTAGCATCATGACCCATCAGGCCAAACGACGACGGCTTGGAACCCAGCCAACTGCCACTGTAGGCGATGGCATTGAGTGTTTGGACGGTTACTACTCACCGGCATCGAAATTCGAGCAGGATTCCTGGAATGGATTCTGTGAGCTGGATTCTGAACCTGTATGGCTCTATGACCGATATCTCCTTTGCTTCCCACTGTGTTGAGTGCCATGATTGATAATCTCTCTGCAGGCTATTTTCAATGTGATGCTCCGGGAGTTCGGAGTAAAGGGGATCAAAATCCAAGAAGTCCTGTCGCTTGACGAGGAGATGATGGCATTTCTGAAGTAAGTGCCATACCATGATCTAGTTTATTGTTTACCAAGACCTTATACACCCACAGTAAACCCATATATGGTCTGATTTTCCTGTTCCGTTGGCGCGAGGATGATCCAGATAAGCAAGAAGCAAGCTGCCCGGAGGGCCTCTGGTTTGCTAATCAGGTCAGTCTTCCCTATCTACAGATCTAGCCCTGGAGCTTGTCACTAACATTCTAGCCCAGACAGCCAGCAATGCTTGCGCCAGTGTGGCGCTTCTAAACATCGTCAACAACATCACCAATATCGACCTTGGGGAGAATTTGCAGAGTTTCAAAGACTTTACCATGCCTTTCACACCCGCACTGAGGGGAGATGCAATAAGTAACTTCGAATTCGTCAAGAGAATACATAATTCATTCGCCAGGTAAGTGCTTCGTCCACTGGACACTCACTTGATTAATCTGGCAGCAGGAAGATGGACATGCTTAGCTCAGACTACCAGCTCAAAGCTGAGGCTACATCCAAGCGAAGTAGACCAGCCAAGTACAAGCCCGCTGATAATAAAGCAGACGCGGGTTTTCACTTCATTGCCTTCGTCCCTGCCTTGGGTAAAGTTTGGAAGTTCGACGGCTTAGAACGTCAACCTCAGGCGCTTGGTAAGTCAAATCAAGACTATTACGGTAAATAACTGTCACTGACTGGGCCGGATCTTTAGGCTCTTGCGCATCGGATGAAGATTGGCTGAGCCTGGTAAAGCCTGATATTCGCGCCAGAATGGAGGCATATGAAGAAGATCAGATAGAGTTTTCTATCCTGAGTGTTGCTAGAGATCCGCTCCCTGAGCTTGTCAATCAATTAGCTGCCAATGTAAGGAGCCTAGAAATCATTCAAGAGCGCTTGACCTCAATTCCCGAGAGCTCTGCTGGTCTTGAATCCACTCTGGCGGATTCGATATACGAAAATACCATCCTGGGACCGGATGAAGGCTATGCGTTGACAAGGAAAACCATCGACCAAGTGACCATCCATGAAAGACAAGAGAGAGAATACCAGACATGTTCAGTGGAAGAACTTAATCATCACCGGCAGAGGTTAGGTCATGCTCAACAGGAACTACGAGCAGCAATCCGAGAAGAGCAACAGTCGCAGCAAACGGATGAGGACTATGCTGAAGGACGAAGATATGATTATGGGCCGGCCATTCGAACATGGCTACGCTTTCTAGCACGCAAAAGGCTGATAGAGGACTTGTTGTGAAGACTCCATCAGAACATCCTGTCATTTTCGTTTGCTTTGTCGTCCTTCTCCACCAAAGCGGATTGGAAGAAAAATAATGTTTGACTGTTCTACGTAGAGCGTGCCCTAGGAGCACTCCACCGCGGATGACTACATTAGCGTTGAATGGACATAAGATAGTATTCTTGTGACAGATGATGGTTGCTGTCCGGTGACTTTGATTACTCGGTCATCGAAACTATGGAGGCTGTGGGAGGTGTCATGATATGAGGTAAAACATGGAAAGCGGATGGAAAGCGGATGGAAAGCCCATACGGACGGTCGGAGTACTTTCGCTTGATATATTGCATATAGGTATATCATGTGTGTAGTGTGCCCAGAATGAATGAATGGGAAGAACAAAGTTTACCTACTACATAAATGTTCTACTTACTCACTAGTACGGGTAAAGCCCAAGGAGGGCCGGACAAGGAGCCTCGTGATGCGCCGATTGGACGACAGCCTTCCTTCTTTTCCATCATTATTCTAGTTTCGGTTCCGAATTCCCAGTCTCTTTCCGCGGCCTTCCCATCTTTTCAGCAGAATGCTCCCTTACTATCTACTACTACTGAACACAAGTACAGAGTAGTAAACTATTAGTTAAAGTTGGCCGAGCGGCCTTTAACAGTACTACTACTACTACTATTACTAGTACTTCTTTCCTTCACCCTGTTCATTCCCCCCCCTTTTTCTCTCCATGCTTCTTCGCGTCCCCTTTATCTACATGAATCAGTGGGTAATCCCCACTTCAAACAATTCAGGAGTACAAGCAAGATCCGACTACTGCCAGTGCCACTGACGGTTATTATCTGCAGGCTGGCCTGCGTGACTACTTATTTGACTGTTTTGTCTTGCTTTCTTCTTTATCTTAACTAGTAAACTCCTACTCGTTCGTTTTTTTTTATTTTTACCCCCCTTTTCTTTCTTAGTCAGTCCGTTCTTGGTCTCTCCTCTCTCCCAACCAATTGCGTGTGTCGGTGACAGTGACGTAGAAAGACAAGAGGGACGTCACCGCCTGGAAGTCAGTGCACGCGCCCGCCGCATTAATTATTCTTCTTATTATCGTTTCTCCAGCACTTTTTCGGCCTCTTTTCTTGCCTTGCTTTTGTTGCTATCTCTGGCTGGTCCTCATCTACTTGCTTGTTCCCGCGCCTGTACTCGCTGTGCAAGCCTATTCTTTTTTTTCCCCTTTCCATCACTCAAGTCCTGTGATCGTCTGGGTGCCTGCCCGGTGCACACCGCAGATCTCGCTCCGACACTCACCATCGACCCTTTTCGCCACAAGCGACGCAAAGAACACCATCTCTCTTATCCCTCCCAGATTTGCTATACTATCCCCAGACGCATAGAGTGCCATCATGTCTTCAACTACAGCCCAAGAAACCCCTGAGAAGGCACCTGATGATTCTTCCAAGTTGAAGACTTTCTTGTCCATTCTCCGCAAGTACGTGGGATTTTGATATGGGCTACACCGTTGCTCACTGCCCGGTACCTCTCTCCGATAGTCTGTGCTGATAGGTCTGGATGGTCTTGCCAGGTTCGTCGGAGTAGCCGACATCGCGTCTGTTCGTTTCTCATTGCCTGCGCATCTTCTAGAACCCACACCAAATCTGGGTAAGCTGTCTCCTGTGCTATCTATCGCACGAGAGTCATCTCCCCTTCGCAGAATGCTAATCTAGACCTCCTTTCCTCAATCAGAATATTGGAATTACCTAGACAGACCGGAGGCCTTCGCAAGGTCAGCAAGATAGCCTGTTCATCATTAGGGCTTGTTATTCTCTGACATGGTTGTCACAGCATTGGTCAATCGGAAGATCCGCTGGGACGTACGCTGGAGGTTCTGAGATTCTGGTTCACCAAGGACTTGGTATACTGCCCTCATTCAGTCTGCATTGTCAATCAGTGGCAGGTCATTGACCAGATCACAGAAATACATCAAAGGCAAACCATGCAAGCCGTACAATTCTACCTTGGGGGAATTTTTCAGAGTAGGTTTGAAGCAGAGCCCTCGTGGCCTAAGTTGATGGCATGTTCTGACTCGCCTGGAATTAGTGCACTTGGGAAGTAGATCAGACGCTCCCAGAAGTCTCGCCGACTCCCAAAACTTCCTCCAACGCAAAGAATAGCAGCGCAGATTCCGTCAAGATATGCTACTTAACTGAACAAACTTCTCACCACCCTCCGGTTTCGGCCTTTTTCATAGACTGCCCGGATACAGGAGTCTCGGCGCGTGGTTTCGACCAGATCAGTGCCAAGTTCACCGGCACCAGCATCCGGGTCGCTCCTGGCCAGCACAACCTGGGAATATTCGTCAACTTGAAAAACAGAGATGATGAGGAATACCACTTGACTCATCCTGCAGCACATCTCGGTGGTCTCCTCAGAGGCGCTTTGGCGATCTCTGTCTCGGACACTTGCTACATCACTTGTGCGAAGACGCGCATCAAGGTCATCTTACAGTACCTGGAGGAGGGCTGGATCGGTCGGGCGCAGAATAAGGTTGAGGGTGTGATCTTCCAGTACGATCCGGATAAGGATGTGACTACGAGAATCAAAGATGTACCCGAAGGCGATGTTCTTGCCCGGATTAGTGGCTCTTGGCATGGACAAGTTTTCTACACGTTGGCCGGCACAAACGAACCTCGGCTTTTGATCGATGTCACACCCCTCTTCCCAGTCGCGAAGACGCTGCCCCCAGAAGAGAGTCAACTATCCAACGAATCTCGCAAATTTTGGTCTTTGGTCACCGAAGCGATCGTCGACAAAAAGTACGGCCAGGCTACCAAGCTCAAGCAAGACATCGAGGAACGACAACGACAAAAGGCCGCAGAGCGTCAGAATAAGAACGAAACGTGGCAGCCTCGTTTCTTCACCGGCGCTGTTACACCTTTGGGAAGACCCGAGCTAACAGATGAAGGGCTGAAGGTACTTGAAGGGCTACGCAGCGGTGATTATAGGTTGAACGAGAGTGTAACGAAGGGTGCATAGAGGCGTTATTTTTATAGGTCCGATTGTATGTGGACGCAATCACTTGAATCTGGCGTATGCGAAGAAATTGTTTTGGCGACATATAGTTAGAGGTATTCGTTTGTTCGGTCTTCCTAATCTTCTTTTGGTTGCCTCGGGATTACACCTTTGTCTGCTGTGCCCATAGGAAGAAAGCATTTGATGATTTTAGATCTCTTTTATCCAGTGGCGGGGCCAATTCGTTAATACAAGCTATCGTCAAGAAAGGCTCTACAACCGTGAAGATAGAATAATGGCTGCACTGAGGGACTTCGTTCTTTTCTTGGCCTCCTATCCCACCCAACATACGGCCTAGCAGGATATCTCGGACACGACTGGCGTTTCTTTTCTATTCTTTTCCAACAATTATGGCCGTTGCCAACTTACAGTAGGTGCCTTGCAAGCAGTTGGATCATTACCGCAGCACATGCAGTATGTCAATGACTTTTTGATCATTGTGAAGTTCCACAAATTATCGGAGCCATGGAAACCCAGGTCCACTGTACAATTCCATTGGGACTAGCTGCTCATCAGGCGATGAAGGTCAGTCCCCCTTACATATACTGAACACGAGATAAATGAAGGAAAAAGAGGGTAAGCAAAACACAGAAAAGGAAACTAAGCACATCCATCCGTAGTTCCTTCGCAGACACCCAACCTCAAACGCCGCTGGGCCCCAATTGATGCGCCGATGTAGAGACCAAAATCCCAACTTATCATTATGAAGCATAATTTCATCAGCCTAGGCGTTCGCCGTGACAACTTTGTTGAATCCTGCAGTTACTGTTTTCGTTATTTCTTCATTCTTGTGAGGAAGAAGTGACAAGGCATAAGCAACATCATTCCATTGCCGCTCGGTCTCACATCTGGGAAGTCGAGCAGCCAGTTTTTCAGCTAATTGCCGGGCGTGTTTCTCCTGCGAGCGCGAAAATGGTTAGCACTTGAAGACATAGGTTATTTCATGTGAGGTGTTCCAATGGTGAGTTACCTTTTCAACGAAGCCAATCAGGAATTTAACGATACGCCTCAATGAGGCCTCCTCGAGATTACGTTCAGCACTCAGAAGGCTGAACATATCAACAAAGTGGTTGTAGACTGCGTTGTCTTTGCCCGCCAGCTCAGTGAAAAACATGCGAGCAAGGTCAGCAATACGCTTATCTTCATCCTCGAGGCACTTAGCCATCTCGCCGAGCTGCCCTTTGACCTTGACCTGACCGGCTAAAATAAGGAATGTGAGCGTCATGAGACAAGTGCGCTTGACCGAAGCTTCGTCATCGTTCAGTCGACGATACAAGAAGTCTGTATTTTCATCGATCAAATGGTTGAAACAAACTGCCATGTCTCCTAAAGCGATCACGGCGTTACTGCGGACCGTTGGATCTTCAGAACGCTCCATGATGGTAATCAAAAGTGGCAAGTTTTTCTCGCAATAGTCTGCCGAGACACACATCAACTTGGCCATGCACAGAGTTGCCGCCGCCTGAAGGTTGCGGTCGGCATAGATGTTGCTATTCGCGCAAATTTCTGTAACCAACGGCCCAAAGTTGGATAGGAGCGAATTCTCGCCATATAGCAATTCCCGTTCTCGAATATGTGCCATGGCATCCTGAAAGTCATCTTCAGTAGTCCCACCGATGAGGTCAAGCTCATCATCTTCGGCATTGTCGTTCTTTTGGTTGGAGGTATTGGCTGTTTTGTTCTTCTCCTGTTCTGCTTTGCGGCGTTTAAAGTCAAGTTCACACAATTCGAGATGAACAATCTGCTTAATGGCAATATGACCGACAACAAAAAGAAGCTGAGATAAAGAAGTAGACGATGTTTCTTGCTTTGCTCCTTGACCTTCCGTTGAAGCCGTTTCAGGTCGTTGTTCTTCTCCGTCATCTGAGACTTTGGAAGGGGATCGTTGAAGCTGTGGCTGAAAAACGAATCTAGTTTTCCGTTTCAGTATGTCAGAGCACAGGACATCTGGGTGCTTTGACAGGGCATAAATAGCACCAATGGCTTGTTCTGCCACCCCGTACCATTCTTTGCTATCAGATATCGTTTCGACTATAGCCCCGAGCTTCGTCAAAACCGCATGGTCATTGCCCAGTTTGGGGATACCAACGTCCTTGGACTTTGCTTGGCGACCTGGCACCATTCGTCTCAATGCAATGCATGTATACTTTGCAAGCACGAGGTCAGATCTGCCCAGGCTTCCAAGGCCAATGCGCAACATTGTCTCAATTTCTTTGATGACGACCTCGGGATCTGCCAAAGCAAGCATGCCCAGGACAATAATAGCTCCTCGACGCTGCGTCTTTGATATCTCTTTCTTTTGCACACCATAGACC